ACCCAGGTCCTGTCCAACTTCCTGCTGATGTGGACCCTGGGAGGCCCTGGTAATGGCTCAAGGAATTGCGGCCTTGTCATCCACGTGGGAGACCTGGACTGGGCTCCTGCCTCCCAACTTTGGATCAGCCCAGTCCCAGCCATTGCAGACAACAGACAGGAATTCTATCTCTGCCTCTCATATAAATAAAGCTCTTAAAACAGACAAACTATAACCAAAAGCTACCTCTTTCAAGCACGGATGGAATTCATGGTGCTCAACATCAAGACATCCCAAATGCCTCAAGGCTCAATTTGGTTCAAATCACAGATGCTCACCCTACACAAATCCTGGTTAGCAGTAGACATTATCATTTGTTCAAACATAATAAACTCTTATTCCCATTTTAATCTTGTCTTGCTTAAGAAACAAATAAAAGTAAAATTCTCAAATTGGTATCAAAGGATTAGAGAAGCTAAAAATTAATCTGCAAAATAAACTTTGATCCCCTTAGTGAATTCCTCGCGCTCATATTAATATTTGCATTAATGTAATAGAGTGTTTGGCAATCTTCTTCCTTCCTGAGATGGCTGAGAAGGTACCTCCTCCACGCCAGGTACTGCTGACTGGCAGCCGCTGACAGAACACAGTGAATTACAGAGTCGCTGTGGGAGACCAGCGGGAGACCCTTTCGTGGCAACTCCTGAAGTGGTCCTATTTCCCTTAATGCTTTAAGACCTGTTGGTAAGGTAGTTATTCCTGACTGCTCCCCAAACCAAAACCTTACGAGAGTAGACTGACCTCGATTTTCAGGCTCATGTTCCAGCCCAACCTCAAATATGCAATGACTTAAAAATATGTGGAAAAATCAATGGACTGGATAAGGAAGTGCACTTTTTTATTTTATAGATTTATTTATTTATTTGAAAGGCAGAGTAACAGAGAGAGGAAGAGACAAAGAGAGACCTTCCATCTGTTGGTTCCCTCCTCAAATGGCTGCAATAGCCAAGTCTGGGCAGGGCAGAAGCCAGGTACCAGGAATGCCATCCCAGTCTCCCACACGGGTGCAGGGGCTCAAGCACTTGGGCCATCTTCCACTGCTTTCCCAGGCCATAGCAAAGAGCTAAACAGCCGGCACTTGAATCGGTGCCCATATGGGATGCCAGCACCTCCTGAAATACCTTCCAAAGCCGTTGCTCTATACTTACAACTACTGCCTAGGTCAGCTCCTCACTGTGTTTTCCCTGTGTGAGGGTACTTCAAACACGAATGTGGAAGAGTGGCATTCCAAGGTTAAGCTTATTTTGAATTCTGTGTAGGTTTTTCATCCTGAGCTCTGTGAAGTCCCCTCATCTCACAATAGCCTCCTAAGTTGCCGTCTGGCCTTTGCTCTTAAACTCTCCAGTCTGTTCTCTCTGATGCAGCCTGAATAATCTTTCATTTTGGTTAAGAGTTTTAAATCAGAGTAATAAGAAATAGTCCTATGCATCTCGTTTTTGAAACACAGTCAGCGTGTCCTCTTAGTCTCTTAGGGCTGGTGCTTCCTGCGTGTGTGGCTCCATATCTGTCAAAAGCACGCTGGTAATCTCACTTCTTTGGCTGTTCAGTACCAGGCAGTATCTATCCGTGTCCCATATGCAGGAAGATTGACCATTTTTCTCTCTCAATCAACAAAAATGTTGATTGTACGGTACTGTTTCTTAGTATAGAATTCTGGGTTTGCATTTAAGGGAACTGCTCTGGTTTCCATCTCTGGTTTCCAAGGTTGGTGTGAGGAAACTCCAAGCCACTGTGGTTTGTGAGCCTTTGTGTGCAGTTTGTTTGGACTTTTTTCTCTATGGAAAACTGCATTTAGAAACTTCCCAGTTTTCACCCGTTGCCAAGTGTCTCCGGGGCACTGGTACATTTGGTTCCTGGGATATTTTCTTTGATTACTTGTCTGAGATCTCCTAATTTATTCTTCTCTGTTCTCTGTTTGTCCCACAATTAAGTGCGACAGATAAATGACTCCGGATGAAGATTGCCTCATGGTGGTTTCACTATTCCTCAAAGGATGCTGGCGTCTTGCTTTCAAGGATTCTGGGATACTCGTATTTGCATAAACTTTCCCAGGTCTGCATCTCTAATCCCCAAATCTGAAGCCGGGAATGCTCCGAGATCGGAAACTTAGAAAAGGCCTGGATTTCAGATTTGCAGGTTAGTGCTGCTCCATCTGGATTTCCAACATGGACCAAAATGAAATACAAAGGAGCAAGCAGAAGAAAGAAACAGGAAGCAACAAGCATTAAGTCACCATGATAATCTCAACACCTCTGGGAAAGAAGACTGCTGACAGGGTACTTAGGTAACAAAGATAACACAGACAGGGTGCTTCAAATTCACAGAAGACAGAATTAAAAGGTAAGTGTACTTTGAGGCCAAAAAATCAAATTCAGGCAGTTCTTTCCTCAATGAGCATTTGTTCTGTGAACTTTCTGAACATCCCACGTATGCATGGATTTTAAAACCTATCTTTTCTTTTTTTAAAATTAAAAAAAAAATTTTTTTAGAGGCAGAGTTAGTGAGAGAGAGAGAGAGAGACAGAGAGAAAGGTCTCCCTTTGCCGTTGGTTCACTCCCCAAATGGCTGCCACGCGCCGGTCCGAAGCCAGGAGCCAGGTGCTTCTCCTGGTCTCCCATGGGGTGCAGGGCCCAAGCACCTGGGCCATCCTCCACTGCACTCCCTGGCCACAGCAGAGGGCTGGCCTGGAAGAGGAGCAACCGGGACAGAATCCGGTGCCCCGACCGGGACTAGAACCCGGTGTGCCGGCGCCGCTAGGAGGGGGATTAGCCTAGTAAGCCGCGGCACTGGCTTCAAAACCTATCTTTTCCTAAAAAGGTCCACAAACATTTTGAAGCGTCCTCACATCTATTATTTCAAGCAGCTACTCCACATACCTATCCTTGTTTTGGTGCTTGGAATGCATGTATTCGTGGTCCATGTATGATTTTTATTAGTCATTAAAAAGGTATGCACATAGGAAGCATTTTGTTGTATTGCTATAGCCTTCAAAAACTGTTTTCACACTGTTTTTGCATTTAGTTAAAAAATTCTATGCGCACAGGGTCAAACAAAAAGCTAAGTTATTAAAAAAGAGAAATGCAGGCCTCTCCCTCACTGTGCTCTCTTGGCTGTGAAGGCGGTAACTGTCCGTCCCTCTGTGGGTGTCCTTAGGAACAGCAGGGGTGGACACGAGCCAACACACGTGTAACGTGCAGCAACACAGGATGTCGAGAACGCAGACAGGCAAAGACCGTGCGAGGGTTTCAGAATTTCTCGCGCTCTGTTTCTCCCTGAACTTCTCCAGTCCTCTTGCACACTCTTCTCTCCCTCCTTCCTCCTGAGATTGAAGCAGACTGCACGTGTTGGTCTTTGTTCACGGCACGGACTTGTCCACGGCGTTCTCCACCTCAGCACTCACCAATCCTCCTTGTGCTTCTAAAAGGCTCCGTCTAACTACTGTCTATTAACTTGTTGATCCACAGACTGCTCTTAGCCTGTTTCTCTTTTTTTTTTTTTTTTGAAAGATTTATTTATTTATTTGAAAGTCAGAGTTACACAGAGAGAGGAGAGGCACAGAGAGAGAGAGAGAGGTCTTCCATCTGATGGTTCACTCTCCAATTGACTGCAATAGCCGGAACTGCACTGATCCAAAGCCAGGAGCCAGGAGCTTCTTCTGGGTCTCCCATGCGGGTGCAGGGTCCCAAGGACTTGGGCCATCTTCTATGCTTTCCTAGGCCATAGCAGAGAGCTGGATTGGAAGTGGAGCAGCCGGGACTAGAACGGGTGCCCATATGGGATGCCGGTGCTGCAGGCCAGAGCATTAACCTGCTGAGCCGCAGCGCCGGCCCCAGCCCTTTTCTCGTACAAAGTAGCAGGGTCCATCTTCCACTTGTACATACGCCTTGGCTAACGTGTGTGGGTCTATCTGTACAACACAGTCACAGGAAGACTTTCAAGGCCGATTTAAAACTTTCCTAGACACCGCCACATGGTCATTCCCGGGAGTACCGATTTATCCAATAATGTTTCAAAACCTCTCAGGACCAACCACTGGTTGCATGAGAATTTTTTTACGGGCCTATCCAACAGCCTTAAGACCCTCACATGTCTATATGCATTTCTCTCAACTTTAATTGAATAAGCAAACGCTGCATTTTACCGAGCTATATAAACTCTGACAATAAAATGAAGGCCCAGGCTCCCATTTCAAGGAGTTAGAAGGGTGATTATTTATAGAGTCCCACTGACAGGGAGAGAAGGGAAAGACCAGTCTGTGGCGAGTGACTGCTTCTGCCCGGCATCAGCAGAAGGAAGTGGGTCTTGGTGTTCAGGGAGCGTGACCCACGAGCTGACACCAGCACATTCCTGCTCAGAAAACCCCAGGACAAATTGATTTCCTAATTGAAAAAGACAAACCAGATACAATGGGGGGGGGGGGGGACGGACATTCCTGCATGCTTGAAAAATGAGCCTTTGACGATGGTTCTTCTTTCGATCACAAGGTACAGGTGTGGTTCTGAGACGGTTTTACAGCGTGAGAGCCTGTTCTTCCGTCTTCCATGAATCGCTGTCTTGACTGAGGATCAGCTGAACCCAATTAACCCAGTTTTTCACTCGTCTATACTAAGCGGTTTAATTTAGATGTACACTACTCCCTGAATCCTTTAGGGGACAACAGGGAAAAAACCAAGAGCAGCCCATAAAGGTCAGGACATTCATTTTGCTGTCATCTCATGTCTTAAGTAGGCATCAAAAAACTAAAAAAAAAAATCTCGTCCTCGGGGAGGGAAGGCAAATCTGAAACTAATTATGGTAGTTATTATCACAGCACCATTAAATTGAACACTGTGACCCTCGCCAAGTTTATTGGGGTGCCTGTTGATAATGAGCGAAGCTTCTCAGATAGGATGACTATTCTGGTAGACAGAACAAGACTGTTCACGCAAAGCCCTGTGCTCCAAAGGCTGATTTTCACTCACCTGGCTCTCAACTAGAAAGTTCCGTGCGATTATAAGCAGAAACCACATGTGAGATTGTAAGCATACGTGGACTCTGCAGAGAACGACGGCTTTTACTTGCTTTCTGCTGTCAAAGGCTTCTTGTGTTTCATCAACTGAGGATTTGCTTGTCGCCACTCACGCACGTTTAACTCTAAAAGAAAATAAAGGAAGAGAAATATTTCCGTGCCTTCTTTTCCTGTTGAAGTTTGAAACAATCGAATTGCATTTGGCTTTTAGAGGAAAAAAAGATGGTCTGGCAAGAGCAGCTAAGGATTTCCGGCCTTCCAGGTTCCCGCCTCCTTCATACACCTGGCCTGGATGCCAGGTGGGGAGGAAGCGGCCTACCCTGGCCCCGGGAAGTGTGTGTTCTCTTTGCTGTGTGAGTTCCCTGGGTGCTGAGACCAGAGTGACGCCCATACAAACTCTGATGGGCGTGTCTCAGTGCTGGCCCATGCTGGGGGGACGCTGGGGGGACACCGGCGGGAGCCCAGCACAGCGAATGCTGAGTCCCAGTGGGTGGGGGTGGGGAAATCAGGCAAGGGGGACCCTGGGCGCCTGTGCAGGACTCTCGAGTCATGGCCATCACAGAAGAAAGAAGAGGCAGCTGGGAGGGAAGCAACTTTATTTTAGGAGAAAACCATTCACAGAACGCCATTTTAGAACCGGCTGCTGGCGTGCTCTGCTGCAGACTGGAAAGATGCTTCTAGGACCTTCTGTGCCGTGCTGGTGAGTCCAGCCTGTCGGTGATCACCAACTGGCACACACGGTCCTGTTGCCGAGGAACTACAACTATTTCTGAGAACGTAATTTATTTCTGTAAATTTGAAAGTTAGCCTACGATAACAATTCCCCATGCTGTCTCTGACAACTGACCATAAGGCATTGCCACAGAAGGATGATGGGAAAAGTAAGAATGCTGGAGGCAAGAGAGGGCCATTTTTTTCCTTGCCAGGATTTCTATAGTGGTTAATAGGGGGATACCCAGGGATCTTGGAGGGCGTTCCTGGCCCTTCCTTTTCATATAATTGATGGCATTTCTATAATCCATTTCTTTATAGATCCGCACCTCAAGCTGCGTGTAATTTTCACATTAGCTGATGCACAACATTTTGCTGTCTTGCCAGCCAGGCGCTCATCCTCGGGAGGCAGCTATCTTGGTCCATGCCACACTGGTTTTACAATGATTTATAGTCCATTACGTTTCATCCTTATTAGCAGAGAGAAGCTGACACAGACGAAAATACGAAGAGTATTTTCGATTGGTATGACACCAAAACACAGGCAACAAAAATAAAATTAGATCAACTGGACAGTATCAGAATTGAAAACTTCTGTGCATCGAAGAACAGGATCAACGGGGTGAAAGCAACCTACGGAATGGTACAGGATATTTGGAAACCACACCTCGGCTGAGACGTTCGCGTTCAGCAGCAAATGTGGCAAAGGGCAAGTGTTGCAGGATTGGGAAGAACCCCTTCTCAGCTCCAGAATGGTTCCAGAAGACTCCCCCGCCCCCTGCCCACCCCCAGGCTCTAAGCTGAGTGGGGCGAGTCCAGTTAACTCAGGTGGTTCCAGATTAAAACAGGACATCACGGAAAGTAGCTAGAAACCCTGTGTTAGATTGGAGATTAAAGCAGCAAGTTCATTTATTCCTGGGCTCCCCAAGATCTGGGTCTGTCCTCGGGACACTGACAGTAAGGGAGGCAGACTTGGGGTGTTGTAGGTGGGAGGCGGTGCTCTGGGACACCACAAGGCCTTATGGGACTTCTCCCGGGGCATGCAGTAACACTCTGCAGATCTAAAACACTGACAAAGACTGTTCACCTGCAGGCAGTAGCTTCTAACAGTCACACAGCCTGAAATCTAAAATCGAAATATAACTAATGGGAAATCTCATCTCATTTTGGAATGCAGTCTTAAATACCCAATATTACAACATCAATTGTTGCTGCTCTAAATTCACTGAATGTTTGGGTCCCCCTGTGAATGAAGTGGGTAGGGGTTAATTTTAGTAAGGCATATTTAAGGAACAGGATAATTTCAAAACACAAGTCAGTGCCAAGGGCAGGAGCCTCTGGAAGGGAAAGAGAAGGGAGGTGCACTGAGGGATTAGCCTTCTTTCTCTTCTTTTTTTTTTTTTTTTAAGATTTATTTATTAATTGAAAGTCAGAGTTACACAGAGAGAGGAGAGGCAGAGGGAGAGAGAGAGAGGTCTTCCATAGATGGTTCACTCCCCAGTTGGCCGAAACAGCTGGAGCTGCGCCGATCTGAAGCCAGGAGCCAGGAGCCTCTTCCGGGTCTCCCACGCAGTTGCTGGGTCTGGTACAACACACTCACAGGGGTGTGGGTGTGTGTACAACTATCTGTAGCTGTAAGACCATCGGCTTTTGTACTAGAAACAGTGAGTAACTGTTCTGAAAGAGGCAGAATCCACCTTAAAGCACATTTCTGTTCAAGAAGGTCAGGTTTTTGATTTTCAAGAATTAACAAATGCAATGGCAGCCCCCCCCCTTTTGTACTTTCCTTATTCCAATTTTACAGTGACTGTTGCACTCAATAAATAATTTTCTGGCAAAATCAAATGCACAAGGCCCATCCATCTCCCACCTAACACAGCAATTTAGCAGAGAGCGCGTGGGCCAATAAGAGAAACATTATGTGTAATTTCTCAAAATTCTTGCTTCAACGCTTTTTCTAAACCCAACATCATTTCGATTTAGTCATCTTCAGTTAAAGGTGGATTTTCAAAATCGGCGCCAAACTCAAGAAAAGAAAATTGCTCAGCAATAATGTTCTCTGACTTGCTTTGAGTAGCTGAGGCCCTGTCTATGTTCCATATATATATATATATATATAGAGAGAGAGAGAGAGAGAGAGAGAGATTATATAAGTCATATAACTTCTATGTTATAACATAAGACACGCTTATGTAAGTTAACATTCATCTTCTCTGGTGGGCTCCAAACTCCACCAGGGCAGGTCTACATCTGTCTTGTTCCTATTATTCCTAAGTCCTTGTAGAGCAGCTTTCCAAAAAGTATCAGTGAATCTACTTCAAAAGACAGAAACCTGAACGAAGGAGTTTGCAAGATTTTACAGATCTTCCAGGGCAAAATAGATCCTCAGAGAGATCATGGAACCAACCAAACTAAAACAACAAAACAACAGATCCACGACATAGTTAAAAAATACTGTACACAGGAGAAAAAAGTATTTGCCTAAATGATCGCTATGACAAAATTTAAGCATATGCTCTGAGTTATGAAGTATTAAAAAAACCTACAAGTAACTTTAGAAACAGGATTATAATACTCCTAAAGTACGTTATCACTGAAAAATTCATATTATTGACATGTTTAAAAATTCATTATGTTTTAGGTTCTAATAGAGTTATGGATGTCAAGAACTCTTCAACATGTCCGTGCACACATGTACGTGTACACACACGTGCACCCACAGACCACACTCTCCTCTCGACAATCCTTCAGAGGAATTCACGTCGTAACACTCTTTTGGGAATACATACAATTTTTAGCATGCCGATACTTATCTGACCTACAGTGTGTGAGCTGAATTAAGTCTACTCATGGACTTGTATTATAGTTTCGACAGAATTTTAACCAAGGTGGCAAGTTATGCTGTTTCTTTCTTTCTTTTCTTTTCTTTTCCTTTTTTTTGACAGGCAGAGTGGACAGTGAGAGAGAGAGAGACAGAGAGAAAGGTCTTCCTTTGCCATCGGTTCACCCTCCAATGGCCACCGTGGCCAGCGCACTGTGCTGATCCGAAGGCAGGACCCAGGTACTTCTCATGGTCTCCCATGCGGGTGCAGGGCCCAAGTTATGCTGTTTCTAAGTCAAAACAAAATAGAAGTTTTCTGGCCACAATGATAGCTGATTAAATTCATATGCTTTCTTGGGCCGGCGCCGCGGCTCACTAGGCTAATCCTTCTCCTTGTGGCACCAGCACACTAGGTTCTAGTCCTGGTCGGGGCGCCAGATTCTGTCCCGGTTGCCCCTCTTCCAGGCAAGCTCTCTGCTGTGGCCCGGGAGTGCAGTGGAGGATGGCCCAAGTGCTTTTTTTTTTTTTTTTTTTTTAAGATTTTTTAATTTTTTTGAAAGGCAGAGTTACAGAGAGAGAGGTAGAGATGGAGAGAGAGAAAGACATCTTCCATCCACTAGTTCATTCTTGCTGCCACAGCCAAGGCTGTGCCAGGTGGAAGCTAAGAGCCCAGAGCTTCTTCCGGGTCTCCCATGTGGGTGCAGGAACTTCCACTGTTTTCCCAGGCACATTAGCAGAGAGCTGGACCATAAGTGGAGGAGCCTGGCTTTGAATGGGCACTCAAATAGGAATGCCTTACCCAGCCACACCACAGTGATGGCCCTGCTAATTCCTAACTTAACCAATGATGTAGCAAACCTGGTTTGCACCACTTATAAGTCACATAATCCTTTTCTTTCTCCACCAAGAAAGCACACACAACACAGTAAATCTTCACTAACAACCATAAATTATTTAACCTCTTAATTTTCACGTGGGAACTAACATTTATTTTGAGACTATTAGGCTCTGAACAGTGTTATTTAAGTGTGTGCTAATTTATGTAATTCTCATCACAGCTTTGGAATGAGTGTTTTATGATCCTCATTTTATATATAACGCAATGTAGGCACAGGGAGGCTACATAACTTATTTAAGCTTGGAGCCAGTGAATGCGTATTTGGGGTTTAAAGCAAGCATTGGGTTCTGTCCTCTAAGCTCAAAACTTCCCCCTCCATTCTTTTCTTAAAATTCTCATTTCCAGTGACAACTCTCAGGAATTAAAATGCACAGCAGAAGAAGTGCTTATGGAAAACAATGTATGATAGAGTTGATGCTCATTAATAATAACGAGCTAATCTTTAAATTGAGGGTCTATTGACAATAAAGAATAACAGAAAACTGGGTTCAAGTGGACATGAGCGCCAGTGCTCTCATGGGCACGGCAGTCGCTGACTCCCCCTGTGCTTGTTGGCTCATGGGAACAAACACTGGCTTCAGGGAAAAAAAAAGAGCTGCAAGAATCCAAGAGAGGAGTGCAAAAGCTACGTCGCTAGGATTTTCTCTCCTACAAATGGCATCGGCAGCTTTATCACATCTGTCTACTACTGATACATTAGCACTACATACGAGTAACCAGGGAGATGCCTCTATTATCACAGAGAATATATTAGATCATGGCCTATTTTGCATACCAGGTTTTCTTCAGCAGGTCTTTGCCTGTCAGCTGGTTCTCTGAGCTGGCCTTCCAAATCCGAGGCTGTTCCCAACAACTAATTCTTCAGTGGTCATATGAAAAAATGTAGGGGGTATAAATTAAAATTTATTTCAGTGTAGTGTTAAATTGCCAGAGTGGCTTTTAGAAGTTATAATAAAATACCATCACTTCTACATAACTGCAGAATAAAAACATCACTGAAGAACTTGACATTTGAGGCTGCTTGGCTGGCCAAGGAAATAAGAAAATGCTAAACCTGAACTCGTTCCAGATTTTCCTCCCTGGAAGGTACTTACTTGCCAGCAAATTATTTCAGAGCCTGTTTTCATTACTTACAGCAAAATGAAGAAACTTAAATGACAGATGAGCTCTCTAGCACTTTATGCTAAGACACTCAAGACGCAGACTAGGATAAATGAGACACCCAGGGCAAAACTCATCTGGAAAATATAAAAAGAAATGGTCTCATTTTCTCAAATTTGTACTTTCCCCCAATATTTGCTATCAGCCCATCACACAGTTCTCTAGGACATGGGACTGCGCTGGAAAGAGACAGCTATTTTTTAGCAGAAATAGGAGGCGCCCGGCGCCTCTCTCACTCACTTCCCCCAATGAGGGGTTCCCCAGCCCATGTCACTTCTGTCTCCTCAAAAGCCCTCAGATATGCCCAGTTTCTCACCCCTATTGCCAGCTAGCACGTGCAAGTTGCTGTAACAAAAGTAACAAGCACTCTTGTTAACTGGTCGCCCCTGCTCCGCCCCTGCCACTTCTCTAATCAACACGGCCACAGCGATGCTTTCAACCCACGAAGGACGACAGGCCGTCGCAGGTCCATGACCTGCAAGGAGGTTTTGCACAGTCCCCTCGGCCACACCAGCCTTCCTCCAGTCTCCTGCATGTACCGTGGCTCCCTCTACAGTGTCTTGATACAACACAAGTTGGTCCTCCTCCTTGTAGTTGTCTTCTCTGTCTTCTGCCCTTTGGGATCACAAGCCAAAGTCCCCTCCTTAGGAGAACTGTCCCTGACCTATTCTGGTCCAGATACCCCCATTAATGGTCTCTGTGAACCATGTATGTTCTCCTGATTCTACTGAGCACAGCTGTGACTTCACATGGGTAATGCCTGGTTTCCCCAGTAGAAAGAGGCTCTAGACGGGCTGGGCTAAGAGCTCGCAGCCAGTGACCCCAGGAGCTCACAGGGTCCCCGAGCCCTCTGGCACAGTAACGGACTGCCTAGCAGGGACTCCACTGATATGTTCTCATTCATAGACACTGTGTGATTCAGAGGAGAAGCGAGGGACACAGGGAGAAGGGGAGGGAGGGCAGACGCACTGTCTTGGCACCCTCGTGGACAGTGTACCAGAAGAGTGAGGTTTAATTCTTGGACTCTTAATTCCATTCCATCAATCTACGTATCTACCTTTATGCTAGTACCACACTGTTTTGTTTATTGTAGCTTTGTAGTAAGTCCTAAAATAGAGAAACGGGAGTCTTCCAGCCTTTTCAGCACAGTTTTGTCTAGAATGGGTACCTTGCATTTCATAGGAATTTTAGGATTACCCTGTTGATTCTTCATAGAGATTGTGTTCAAGTTGTCAATCAGGAGAGGGAGAACTACTATCTAAACAATGTTAAGTGTTTCAGTTCAAGGATATGGAATGTCCAAAGTCCTTCTTTCTCATAATCTTACTTGTTTTCAATGTATGAGTTCTGCATTTTTTTGTTTGTTGAACTTATTTTCGAGTATATATTCTTTTGATGCTCCAGAAAATCTTAATCTCATTTTTGGATTGGCCATTGCTACTGTGTATAAATACAATTAACATTTACACTGACCTTGTATCTTTCATCCTTGCTTAACTCGTGTATTAGTCCTAACAGATTTCTACTGCATTTCTTAAGACTTTTTACATGTGAGATCCTGTTATTTACACAGAAGGGAAGTGTTACTTCTTTTCCAACTTCAATTTCTTTCATTTCCTTTTCTTCCTTGATTGCACTGGGTTGAACCTACGCTCAGTGTTGAACAGAAGCAGCTTTGCCTTGCTCCTGGCCTGTTTCGCACTGAGTGTCACACAGGCTGTGGACTTTCCACAGGTCCTTGTTATCAGTGTGAGGAGTTCTTCCTGGTCTGTTCCATGTTTTCATGAGAAAAATGCCTTCGATTTTTATCAAATGCTTTTTTTTGGGATTAATGTATTACACTGATTTTTAAAAAATATATCGAACCAATTTTACATTCCCAAGATACATCCCAGTTGGTCTTGGTTTACAATCCTTTTAGTCTGTGTCTGGCTTGGTTATCAGAGTCATACTGGCCTCAGAGGAGTTCAGAAGTGATTCTCTTGTTGTTTTTGGAAGAGTTTGTGAATGACTGCTCTTGAACTCATCTTAAATTTTTGGTGGAATTCACCCGTAAAGCCATCCGGGCCAAGGTTTTTCTTGGGGGGGGGGGGGGAATCTTTTTTAAAATTATAATTCAACAACTGTGCTTATTACAAGTTCATATTTTCTATTTCTTCTTGAATCAGTTTTTGTCTTTCAGGAATTCTTCTACTTCACTCAAGTCACCTACTATTTTGGCATACAATTGTCCCTAGTGTTTTTTTTTTTTTTTTTACAATCCTTTTTTGAAATTTTCCATATGGCCAGTAGCGACCCCTCGTTCATGCTCATCTTAATAACTTGAGTGTTCTCGGCCGGTGCCAGCACCCCGAGTTCTAGTCCTGGTTCGGGTGCTGGATTCTGTCCCGACTGCTCTTCTTCCAGTCCAGCTCTCTGCTGTGGCCCGGGAAGGCAGTGGAGGATGGCCTAAGTGCTTGGGCCCTGCACCTTCATGGAAGGCCAGGAGGAAGCACCTGGCTCCTGGCTTTGGATCGGCACAGCGCGTCTGCTGTAGAGGCCATTTGGGGGGTGAACCAACAGAGGAAGACCTTTCTATCTCTCTCTCTCACTGTCTAACTGCCTGTCAAAAATAAAAAAAAAAATAACTTGAGTGTTCTCTTTTTTCTGGGTCAGTCTAGATGAAGAGTCATCAATTTTGTTGATCTTTTGAAGAATCAACTTTATCTTTCATTGTTTGTCTCTACTTTGTATGTGTGTGTGTGTGTGTGTTTTCAGATTTATTTATTTACTTGAGAGGCTCAGTTACAGACACGGGGGGGGGGGAGGGAGAGAGAGGGAGAGAGCTGGAGATATATCTTCCATCTGCTGGTTAACTCCCCAAATGGCCACAACAGCCAGAGAGCTGCACCAATCAGAAGGTCTCCCATATGGGTGCAGGGACCCAACTGTTTGGGCCATCTTCCGCTGCTTTTGCAGGCCACCAGCAGGGAGCTAGATTGGAAGTGGAGCATCTGGGACTCGAACCGGCATCCATATGGGATTACCAGCACTGCAGGCAGAGGCTTAACCTACTATGCCACAGCGCTGGCCCCTCTACTGTGTTTTAATCTCTATTATTATCTTTGTTATATATCTTTGATCTTTTATTGTTTTCTTCCTTCTACTTGCTTAGGTTTTTTTTTTTTTTTTTTAGGTTTGTAAGACAGAAACTTATATTATCAATTTGAGATTTTTAAAAAATATAAGCATTTATAAAGTTCTTTGTAAACATTGCTTTTTTTAGTTTTAGTATGTAGTGTTTTAGGTTATTTTTGGGATGCAGTGTTTGGGTATGCAGTATTTTTGGTTAATTTATCTTAAGCTATTTCCCAATTTCCCTTGTGATTTCTTCTTTGAACTACTGATTATTTAGAAGTGTGTATTTAATTACCACATATCTGTGAATTTCCCAAATTTTCTTCTGTTAGTCACTTCCAATTATATTCTAGGGTAGTCAGAGAACATATTTTGTATTATCACTTCAATATATGTATTGAAGCTTATTTTGTTTGATTGAAAGGGAGAGAGAGAGAGAGAGAGAGAGAGAGAGAGAGAGAAAGGGAGAGAGTGAGCTTCCATCCACTGATTCACTCCCCAAAAGGCCACAACAACAGCGGTCAGGTCTGGGCCAGGCCAAATCCAGGAGCCAGGGGCTCCATCCTGGTATCCCACACGGGTGGCAGGGGCCCAAGCACAGGGCTCATCTCCTGCTGCCTTCCCAAGAGTATTAGCAGGAAGTTGAATCAGAAGTGGAACAACAGGCCTCGACCTGGCACTCTGATTGGGGATGTCGGCATCACAAGCAGCAGCTTAACCCACTGAGCCCCAGGGCCGACCCCTGTTGAGGCTTATTTTATGGCTTCATATAGCTTATCCTGGAGAATGTTCTGAGAACACTTGAAAAGAATGAACATGCTGCTCTTTCTGTGTGGAGCACTATATAGACATCTGTGCAATGTAGCTGATTTACAGTACTGGATCCGGGCATGGCGCCCAGCCTGTTCTGGTGTATTCAAGAGGGGGGCTCACCTTTCAAAGGGCTCCCCATATAATTTAATATCATCCTAATGCCAAGAGGTAAGCAAAGTAAAATCTTCACCTTGGGTATGTTCTTAAACACATCTATTCTGAAGAACTCTAAGGAGAGCAAAGTAGGAAATGAATGTAGCTCTCCTATATTTCTTGATTAATTTCATATCTATCTCATGGTTATGCTTTAAATAAATGACCGCAAAGAACCCTGCATATAAAAATTTCATACAAGTGCACGATGAAAAGAATGTTATTTCACATAACCAATACTGAAATATAGTGTGCCCAAGCACTTTCTGAAAGAAATATTGTATCACTTGATAGAGCAGATATCAATTTTATGATTATGAAACTTTACTTGTAAAATATACTCTGGGAAATTGTATCTCTTGATGGTGATTTTTAAAAGTAGGTTTTATGAGGCAAATCCAGAAATTAAGACAACTGTATCAATATACAAAAAAGTACCTAAAATATTTTGCTAGTCTTGCATGAGGATTGTGGGTTATTTCCATCAGAATCTCTGGAAGACAAACGTACCTAGAAAAGAAAGTTGAATTTTCAGACTTTTAAGAGAAAAACAAAGAATGGTATTTTTTTGTGTATCATTAAATCTAGTTGTATAATTTTTGAAAGCCTGTTACAGTATTTTTGATCTTTAGCAGTACCTATAAACATCCCACTCTTACTCTCTTGTATAAGATAATAAAGTACTTTGGTTTCTCAAAGTCCGTGTGCATAGATCTGGCTTGAATAATATTGAATTTATATGAAGTTACAAATCCACAGCAAATGCCTAGCTTTTGTTTCCAATTATTATGTAACCAACACTCAATTCCTCCCCACATAATCTCCCTGATTATGCTACTAAATCATTGCCATTATTTACTTGGGCAACGGGAATATTACATTTCACCCCAAATACATCAAAACTTTCCAACTGAATAAAATGTAGCCCAACTCTGGGCTGAGGCTTTATTTATTATTATTTAAAAATCAGAATCCAAAGCCCCAAAATAATACCTGAAATAATAAATCTGAGAAACTAGCTTTCCACTTTAATTTTCTGTGCCTGGTCTTCATTCCTGCCCACTCTCATTCAGTTTACCCTAACTAAGCTACCCTCGTATCATATGTCCTCCTGTTGAAAGTAATAAAAACACTTCACTCTGTAATACTGCGTAGTGAATCATTTTCCACCTTGTAGGAGAGGGTGTTAATGATAGAAGGGTGTTTCCATCCAAATCAATGACACCAACTGTATGATCCAAGCTAGAAAACAGTTAAGCATGGCAAAGGTGTTTCCGAAACAGCGATGGCTTACTCAGTCACGGTCATCAGGGTGGAACACAGTGTGAAACTCTCCTTTCTGGCCAGTTCATCACACCTGCTTCTAACTGGGATGACCACATCACAAGGCAGCCACACAAGTGTGTGTGTGTGGGTGTGGGTGTGTGGGCCGGGAGGAATGCAGAGCTCTTGGATCTATCTTCCTGACTGAAGTCAAGGTCAAGGCAGGTGAATCTACTCTCCTCCCAGTTTGCCTGCAGATCTTTCACATTCTTCCTGAAGACTGAAGCTCCTTCTGTTCACCGGGTCCCTCCTGAGAAGGGAGGTTCCGAGCTCTGTGCCTACCAGCCCTGTCTGGGACACCCCGGGAGCACCGCCCTGGTAGGCCTTCCTCAAGGCCAAGAGCACAACTGCGACACATGGGAATGGGGAAGCGGTTCAACTGAGGCCACAGGCAGAAGACAGAGGAAAGGTGGTATTTAAAGTGATCGTGGGCTGTAGGAAAAAGATTAAGCTAATTCTAAATTGAGAGGGAAACCTGAAAATATTACCTTTTGTATAAAATCAAGACAATAATTTCATGCATTCTAGAATAGAAACCATCCAGAATAATCACTACTAAAAGTATCAAAATCTTACGGTAATGTGGCTTAAGCAAATAAAAAAGTTTCATTATTAAAAAAAGAAATCTATACATGTATGTAAAATGCTTCAATTATGATTCACACTCTCAGATACATGAAATAAACATTTTAATTTGGTAAGGAAAAGTCATTCTCTTAGGTTAAAAAGAAGGTAGAGGTCACTGTTATTTCAAATGAGACTATCTACATATTTCTAATAAAATATCTCCTGACAAAATAAAAAGTACCAGTGGAGTCACAACACCTAGTATTTTCTCTCCAGTTCTTTCGTGAATATATATGGGGTCACCCCGAGCAGCCTGCTAAGTTAAGACGGGGGCCCCATACTTTAAGCTTTTGGGGAGTCAAAAGCTAAGGATTCATGATGGTGGAAAAAAATGTATTCAAAGACAGATATATATGTAAGATAACCTGTTAAGTACCAGAAGTCTCTTCCAATAAAAGCATTTAAATCACCACAGGGTTTTTGTTGTTGTTGTTGTTTTTTTTTTTTTTAGAGTCATTTATTTATTTGAAAGGCAGAGTGAGTGAGAGAGAGAGACCCAGAGAGAGATCTTCCATCTGTGGGTTCATTCCCCAAATGGCTCCAATGGCAAGAGCTGGGCCAGACCAAACCCAGGAGTAAAGAGCTTCTGGTTCTCCCACATGGGCGCAGGGGGTCCAAATACTTGGGCCATCCTCTACTGCTTTCCCAGGCTATTAGCAGGGAGGTGGATCAGAAGTGGGGCAGCACCAAGATGGGATGCTGGCATCGCAAGCAGTGGCTTTACCTACTATGCCACAACGCCAGCCCCTACACGTTTGCATTTAAAAAACGAGTTCAGAATTTCCATAATGTAACATGTTACACCTCTCTCTATCCTACAAGTCCTTATCTCTTCCAACCCTGCAACTTCTCCTAAAGGGTTAAGAAACTCACTGCCCAGAGTTCTGGGAACACAAGAGCCAGCCTCCACCATGACCAGCACCCAACCTTGTCCCTGTAACTTCTCAAACCTCTGTAACACACCTCTCTTCACTTCCGCTCACCCACTGCTTCACCCCCACTTTCTGTAGAAGACAGAAATTACCCGAGGGAGCCGCTCTCCCTCCCAACATCACATACAGCCTCCCTGAGCAGCTCTGGTTCCTGCCACTGTTGACCTCATCCAGGAGAGGGGCGCCTGTCCTCTTCCCCAAGGCCAGGCCCTCACCCGGTGTCTTGGTCCCATTCTCTCCGGTTTTCCTAACAATGGGAGAACAGCATCCCCTCATTCACTTACATATTCAGCATCTCTTTTTAAACAGTTCGTTTGCACTGGCTTTGAGGTGCACCCAAGCCTGTCACTCACACCACAGAAACAGAAGCACCTGGCCCTGCGCCTCCCTGCAGTGCTGGTCCGGGGGCCTATCCAGATGCCCCCTATGCCAGACAACCTCTCTATAGAGCTGCCTCGATGTTCTCCAGTTTCCTCGCCAGCCACTCTCTCCCCGGGCAGGGTCTCGAGCTGCACAACCTCCCCGCCAACGTCGCCCACAGAGGCTGCTCTGTCCTCATCTTGTTGGACACCGTAGCAGCGAGACAGCTGTCGCTCAGTGTCCACTTCTCATTACCTTTCTTTCTCTCAGCAGCTGTGAACCTGAAGCCCCGGCTTGCTGCTGCTGCTGCTTCTCTGGCTGTCCTTGGCCACAGAAGGCTGGAGCAGCTGCAGGCAGCCATGTCTCTCTCTAGGACGGAAAGGCACGTTTGGACTGGGTAGATTCAAGAAGCTGCACACGTGATACAACTAATTGCAAAGAAAAAAAATACACACACACACATAAATGAGTTCCAGAAAAACAGGGGAATCTATGTAGGACCTGGATTATATCAACATTGATAACCTGGAAGTTAGTGTTGGGGTGAGGGGTACATGGGATGTAAACAGGTTCTTCAAAAAGGTTTGTGGAAAAATGGGATCAAAAGGTAAACTGTTTATGCTTCAAAAAAATTTGAAATCCTGGGGCAGGTAGTTGGCAAAGGGGTTAAGCTGCTGGTTGGGACACTGGGACACCTGATTGGAGTGACTGGTTTGAGTCCCAGCCATTCCACTTCCAATCCGGCTGCCTGCTAATGCTCACTCGGGGAGGCAGCAGGTGATGGCTCAAGTACGTGGCTGCACTGTGGGAGACCTGGCATGGAGTTCTGGGCTCCTGCCTTCAGCCTGGCCCAGCCCTGGCTGTTGTGGGCACTTGGGGAGTGAATCAGTGGATGGAACATCTTGCTCCATCTTTCTTCCTTTCAAATAAGATGAAAATGATTAAAAAAAAAAACAAAACTGAAATCCATGCATAGTTGTTTCAGAATAAGCATTTTCCATTAATTTTTTGAAGCTCCTTCATATTTTTCCTACACCTACATGTAAATTTACACTTATCCCAAACTTAAAGGTATAATTTAAAAATAGCTCTAAAAAAAGGTATGAGATGACCCAATTCTAGAACACAGGATTCTAATTTTTACAAAGGAGGTTAAAGTGCTCTTTGCCCAATTTTTCCACATCTACTCCTGTTTGTATCAGCCAATCTAGATGAACGAGGAATGCCTTGAGGTTGTAATGACCACAGGAAAAAAAAGTATTAAAATTTTAAAAGTAGATCTTGAAATGTACTTGAACATTTGAGATCATGATGACATAAACAACTATTTATGACCTAAGAAAAACCGCATTTGGTACTTTGAAGTATTAAAAAAAAATCACACAGAATTAAATTACAAAGCTCACACACTTGTTTATGCAGCTGGTCTTTTTTAAAATCAAGGAACTCTAAACCTACAATTCTAATAGGCTTACTGGTGACACCCCAATCCTTTGAAAAATAAATGAAATATCATAAATCATTTGACAGTTCTTAAGCTTAGATTTTTATCATCGTTCAGCCTCTTTAAAAATAAAAAGCGATACGAGAGGATTGGATCTTATTTTGTCCCCTACAAAGCTTAAGATAGAAAATAAATCATACGATTAAATGTCATTTGGAACCCTGACTTCAATACTTAGGATTAAATTGGCATAGTATTCACGGTCATTCCTACGGGAATGCTTGCAAGTCAAGTAGCTTTTCTTACAAAACATTGCAGGCCTCTGGCACGTCCTGTGATGAATGAAGCAATAAGGCTTTGGAATTGAAATTGTGTATATTTAAGCACTTCATATAAGCCACCAGACTGTCATCCTGCTGGATACAGAGCACGATGAATTTATTATTTGGCATCCGAAGGAATGCTTGAACTCTTACAAAAGAGTAAGGGATTGGGGTAAGCCTTTTTAATTTTAAGCTACAAATTTAGGATCACATCGCAGGCACGGAGTTCAGCCTTCATTTGCTGGCAAGTTGATTTAATGAGAAATATTCACAGATTTTGCAGGGTAAGTTGAGATGAAAAATCTATAAATAACCTTGAAAATGTTTAGGATTCAACAGAAGGAAAAAAGACCTAGGTGTTAACCACAGCATCCTGAGGACTGTTAGCTTTTTTTTTTTTTCTTTTTTGAAGAAAATAAAATACAGGAGACATTCTCCATGAGCTGGCTGCAAGGTAATTTGATGATGAATCAATAATCAGTTCAGTTCATGAAAGCACAT